CTTGAATGCTAGACTAGGAATTCTCCAATGTCTAGCTTCCCCTTGAACTGGCTTCCTAGGGGGCAGTTTGAACAAGGTCTCTCACTGTAATACTACTGAAAAGAATGCATTCACCAAAGTGGAAGTATGCCATGTATCTGGGGACCTGGAGTATGCTATGTATCTACGGGGACTTGAAGTATGCCATGTATCTAGGGGGACCTGGAGTATGCTATGTATCTGGGGGACTTGAAGTATGCCATGTATCTAGGGGGACCTGGAGTATGCCATGTATCTAGGGAACCTTGAGTATGCTTTTGTATCTGGAGGTGAAGTATGCCACATATGTAGGGAGATGAAGTATGCCATATATCTAGGGAAGCTGAAGTATGCCATGTATCTGGGGGAGATGAAGTATGCCACACACATGTGGGTAAGTAGGGTATTTCCTAAGGGAATAACCGAGTCCTTTGAGCTAAGAAAAAAATAATTTACTGTGTTAACTATACAGTAATTACTTTCTTATTTTCATCATATACACAGATATTTATTCAGATAGTAAATTTATGAGGGCACAGTAACCATATATAAATCTTTACAAAATAGCATGAATAATTTAAATATATTACCAGAACTGAATTCAAGCAATTATACCACGTTTCTAATGTGTATTAATAAAAACTTATTTACTGGACTGTAATCGGAAGAAGTAGACAGAAGGAAGGCTTACTAGCTCTTTATACAATTTAATTTTTTTAAGAACTCTTGAGTATTTTTTAAATATTATACGTGAAAAATATTTTGGCTAACAATAAATTGCAAATGGCAGCTCCAGTGCTTGATAATGTTAGTTGCCTGCTTGTCGATCATGAGACAGATTTAAGAGTGTGTGTACACATTACTCCATGCTTTTCCATGGAAGCAGTTGGATGCTTATACAGTATATACACTGTATGTATGTATGTATGTATGTATATATGTATATATAAAACTGAAAACTCTACACCCCAAAGGATTCGAACCCAGATAGCCAGGAGCACTTTGCACAATGGCATACCTGGTTCCTTAACCACTCGACCACCGTGACTGTACAAAAGTCATTGGTAGCCAAGGCTATATCCCCAACGACCCAACAACACTTGGTGGTAAGCTTGGGCATAGATATTTCATCGAATCACCTCACTTTATGGGTCCACGTGAGCAACACAAATGCGAACAAGATTGAATGGTCCCCAAGCCAATATGCAACTGAAAACTCTACATCCCAGAAGGATTTGAACCCAGACAGCCAGGTGCACTATGCACCATGGCATACCTGGTTCCTTAACCACTCAACCACCGTGACTGTACAAAAGTCATTGGTAGCCAAGGCTATATCCCCAACGACCCAACAGCACTTGGTGGTAAGCTTGGGCATAGATATTTAATCGAATCACCTCAATTTGTGGGGCCACGTGAGCAACACAAATGCGAACTACCCTTAACAGCATACAATTTATTACCAGTAACAGAAGACCAACGACCTTGCCAACGGGTATGGATTGAGGAATAAATAACTGGGTAGAAGTCGAACTAGAGGATACCTTTACAGGAGATGGAACAAGTGCGGATAGCCTCCTTAGTGGCAGCATCTGCAGGCTCATTTAAGGACACGCCAATATGAAACCAGCACGGAACCCAGCAAAACTCTACTGTCTTAAATCTACTGGAGATAAGAAACAGCCAATGTTGAATTTAGACTACTACAGGTTGGACTGGCTTAAAGGACTCCAGAGTCATGAGGGCACCGTGAGAGTCAACTACAATAACATAGGAGGGTTGAAAGCAAGAAAGCAGTTGATGAAGAGCATACAAAATAGCATAAATTTCTGCCGTGATGATGCTAGTCTCTGGAGGCAGGCAACACATATAGGTGTGGTCAGGAAAAACAACAGAGGTAGCCTACACCGTCTGCAGACTTAGACCCATCAGTGAAGACGGAAACGGAGCGGGAGTGTGAAAAGAAGTGGGAGTAAAGAAAAGTCTCTCGGGTCACTTACACCAGTTGCAACATGGTGTGGGAGGATAACAGTACCAATACTGGCATTTAAATGGGTATTTTTCAAAATCCTAACAGGGAGGGGGAGGGGGGTATGGACTAGAATCAAGGTCCAAGTATATTACATAAGGTAAGTGCAAGTGTAACCATTCAACTTAGATGTGTTCAAATAAAGTAAACACCAGAGTGAAATAGTGGATCATAAGGAGAAAAGCTGCGTGTACTTTTATCAAAGACATCACATGGGTTTCATACTGCTATTGCATAAACATTGCATCAATTTCCATAGAATTTAGAAATTATTCATTCTTTTCAAAATTACAGTAGTAAACTGTATTTCTTATTATTTTATCCTAATTTATAATAAAGTGGCTTTGGCAGATTATGAAGCAAGAAACTGTCACACACATTTCTATATATACACATACAAAAATAATAATAATATTATTACTATTTATATATATATATATATATATATATATATATATATATATATATATATATATATATATATATATATATATATATATATATATATATATATATATATATATATATATATATATATATATATTTATATTTATATATATATATATATATATATATATATATATATATATATATATATATATATATATATATATATAATAATATTGTTGTGTGTCGAGGAACAGCTGGAGAGAGACTCGTTCCGCTGATCTTCCTGGATGTAAATATAGTATTTCAACTACAGTAATTGAAACTATGTAGGCTAATTTTATTAAAATTAATAAAAAATAACAGTAAACTAGAGGGTCTGGGGAAGCCTAGGTGATCTGTTCTTTATTACCTCAATATAAATATTTTGACTAAGCCCATGCAGGATTTCATTTATTCAAAAAATAGTAACAAAGAAGAAATACAGGGATAATTATTCAGAAAATAGTAGATCTTAGCAACCTGACCACTTGCCTTACAATACGATATTGTACTAGCAAGAGCAAAGGGAAAACATAAATGGCCTTGTGGCCAGCGTCTAGTCCAGGGTCTAGGCCAGGGACTAGTCCAGGGTCTAGGCCAGGGACTAGTCCAGGGTCTAGGCCAGGGACTAGTCCAGGGTCTAGGCCAGGGTCTAGTCCAGGGTCTAGGCCAGGGTCTAGGACAGGGACTAGTTCAGGGTCTAGGCCATGGACTAGTTCAGGGTCTAGGCCATGGACAAGTTCATGGTCTAGGCCAGGGTCTACTCCAGGGTCTAGACCAGGGTTTACTCCAGGGTCTAGACCAGGGTTTACTCCAGGGTCTAGTCCAGGGTCTAATCCAGGGTCTAGTCCAGGGTCTAATCCAGGGTCTAGTCCAGGGTCTAATCCAGGGTCTAGACCAGGGTCTACTCCAGGGTCTAGACCAGGGTCTACTCCAGGGTCTAGACCAGGGTCTACTCCAGGGTCTAGACCAGGGTCTACTCCAGGGTCTAGACCAGGGTCTACTCCAGGGTCTAGACCAGGGTCTACTCCAGGGTCTAGACCAGGGTCTACTCCAGGGTCTAGACCAGGGTCTACTCCAGGGTCTAGACCAGGGTCTACTCCAGGGTCTTGACCAGGGTCTACTCCAGGGTCTTGACCAGGGTATAGTCCAGGAACTAGTCCAGGGTCTAGGCCATGAACTAGGCCAGGAACTAGTCCAGGGTCTAGGCCAGGAACTATGCCAGGGACTAGTCCAGGGTCTAGGCCTGGGTCTAGGCCTGGGTCTAGGCCTGGGTCTAGGCCAGGGACTAGGCCTGGGTCTAGTCCAGGGTCTAGGCCAGGGACTAGTCCAGGGTCTAGTCCAGGGTCTAGTTCAGGGACTAGGCCAGGGTCTAGGCCTGGGTCTAGTCCAGGGTCTAGGCCAGGGTCTAGTTCAGGGACTAGGCCAGGGTCTAGGCCTGGGACTAAGCCTAGGTCTAGGCCAGGGTCTAGGCCAGGGTCTAGGCCTGGGTCTAGGCCAGGGTCTAGGCCAGAGACTATTCCAGGGTCTAGGCCAGGATCTAGGCCAGGATCTAGTCCAGGGTCTAGTCCAGGGTCTAGACCCTGGCCTAGTCCAGGGTCTAGTCTAGGGTCTAGTCCAGGGTCTAGGCCAGGGTTTAGTCCAGGGTCTTGTCCAGGGTCTAGCCCAGGGTCTTGTCCAGGGTCTAGCCCAGGGTCTTGTCCAGGGTCTAGTCACATCCTCAGGGAAACAAAAATCTAATGATATCGTTTGGCTGATGAAATTTGTACTGCCTTTCTAACACTGCGATATGTTTTTGAAAAAACATTTTAATATTGTTTTATTGTACAGTACTGTAGTTTTATAAATTCACTTATGAAAGGAAAGAAGCCATGTCAGAAGCCTGTGCAAAACAAAAAAAGTATCGAGAAGCCACACTCAACCTTATTTATTTTTTGTTTCCTTCATATCTGTCAACACAACACTATTTCTTCACTGAGCCAGAGACCAACCTAAAAAACACATGGCCTCTCATCGCATGTAGCTCAAAGATGAGTGTTTCAGTTAGTCTAACATTATCTCGTTTATAAAGTTACTCTCCTACCCTCTGGATAACACAAATCCTCAATTAAGAGAAATGTGTTCCAAAACCATGTATATGAGTACACTCATTGTCTAACATTTAATTTTTATACAAAATTCTCTGTACAGAAATTGTTTGATTCTTAAAATATTTATTACATATATCTGTTATTCCTTTTTTTCCCCAAGTTCTTTCCTCAATTGTCTTCCTTTGCTTCCACTTCACTATTTTCTTGTCATTATCCAAAATCTAAAGCACCTCAGTACTCATTATTTCCCCCAATTGCCATGACTATTTCCTATGAGGCAACTGACTGACAATGGATTTTTCTGGCATTCCAACAGCAAGGGTATTTATGATTTCCAAAGAAACAAATTTTGTTTCTTGTTATAGACATTCAATCACAGAAATAATGAGTTACCTTTTTAACCGAAACATAGAAAAACATGTGTAAAGTCTCACCTATGAAAAGAGTCAACCATTTTAAGTTGTCCTCTCAGATCTTTTTTGGTGAGATGATCAAGCATTCTTGCATCCACTAAACATTCCATGAAGGTAGTCCGGTACTGAGGGAGCCCTAACGCAGGAAGCCACTCATTACCAACCCACTCGTGGTTCATATCACCAAAGGCTAATGTAGTGCGAGAAGTCTTGGGAGCTGATGGCGACGTCAAGGACACCATTTCTTGAATAGCTAGTCTCAGTTTGAGGCGGTGCAGTGGATTAGATATGCCGATCTCTCGCTGAATTTCTGCATCGCTCAAGGCAGACATTATGGCTCCAGATTTGACATTTGCTCGACAAGCTGCTACATACCAGGCGGGCATTCCAACCCAAAGTTCTAGCCAAGCAACAATAGTTGGACCATTCCATAATGCAAATGGAGTTCCAGCCTTCATAGCTTCAGCTAATAATTCATGTCTATATCCAGGTAAACTGAAACAAAAACAAAATTAAAAAATCACAAATAGAAAACTGATGGGCAATGAGACATATTTAAGAATACAGGTAATTGCCAATGGATTGATGAATCATTCTGTAAACTATTAGCTGATTTTTAGTTGTGTGTACATTCTCTGCCATGCAATTATAATTAATAAGATAGAGAACATCACAACCTACACCCGGGTGTGTGCAGGTATCTTATAAAAATTGGATTGTTGGTGCTATCTGGTGCCTCCCCAAACTCCAAGTATTTGGCTCTCAAACTTTTGGCCGAGACATTTGTACTTTAAATCCCCTCACGGTACAGTGGCTAGTGTGTGTGTGTGTGTGTGTGTGTGTGTGTTTTGGGGGAGTCTAGAGATAAAAGTTCAATCCCATCTATAGTACTGCCATAATTTTTACTCATGTGCTAGTGCAGCAGTATCTATCATCAGTCTAGTATGTTTATAAATTTCTCTTTTCATATTTATTTGTGAGTAGAAAAGATGTCTAGAGACAAGGAAAGTCATCATGGCTGGGACATTTGGTGGTGGTCTGATAAATGGTGTGTCTTGGAAAATGAGTGTTCACTCTAAAGAACAACAATATATACATTTTTAATTTGTGATATTGATGCTTTGCCATTATACCAGTGACTCACTCAAATAACATCTAAAATTTCAACAAAACATTCAACCAACATTCACAATAAAATAAGGAAAACAAAAATAGAAAGAATTTCAAATATTAAAGAGGTAAAAATTTCCTAAAGAAACTCACTTCTTTTTGGTGCGTCTATCAATATCTGATTTTTGTCCTAAACCAGCTAAAGATAAAGAGTCTGATGAGCCAATGTCACCATCGCTGTAGATCCCTGAAGAGCTTAAGCCACCTCCACCCGGGTGTTGAAGAGCCTCCTTCATTTTAACCTGCAGTAATATAATGAGACATTTTAAATACAAGCACAAAAACAATGTTGAGCATAGTACAACACTACTTTCCGAGCTGGTCTCTCAGGTGCTGCCTTCTACCACAATCTATTGGATCACCAGGGAGGCTCTGCCTTCTACCACAATCTATTGGATCACCAGGGAGGCTCTGCCTTCTACCACAATCTATTGGATCACCAGGGAGGTTCTGCCTTCTACCACAATCTATTGGATCACCAGGGAAATGTCACTTTGTGAGCATCTTGTGGCCTTCTCCCCCCCCTCCCTCCCTGTAAGCCTCCCTAAAATACAAGCCAACCATTTTATTATTTGATAAAGGTGGAAGCAAGAGAGTGGGGGAGTCTAACTCAAGGAAGGGACCAGCTAATTATAATACATGACAGGGAGCAATATTCTTAACACTCCCTGAAAATCTTAAGTAATAACATAATGAAGAAATTTATTTATTTATTTATATACAAGAAGGTACATTGGGTTAGAGAGAATACATAACATAGTATTTACAATCTTTTAAAGCCACTAGTACGCGCAGCGTTTCGGACAGAATAGGGTTAGGTTCCAGAGATCATCTTCAATTCATTATTTGAAAAGCAATTTTTTACTCAACAATACTCCAATCATTTTTGTAAATTTAAATTTGCATTGTTGGTGGCCTTCCTCCCAATAATAAACCGGGTGAGAATAGCTTGAGCTACCTCATCCCTTTGTGTGTATTTATACCTCGGAAACTTTTTTAAATTTAAATTCATTTCAATAATAAACTAAAATATTGTACTGTTAATTGAAGGGGCATAGGAAGGCAGGAAGTGGGGGAAGTTCAGCATGGCTCCACACTAACAGTGAAATATGTGGAAATTTCTCAAAATTCTTTTTATCAACTCTTGTTAACACAAGAATTGATAACAAGAAATAGACAACTTTATTACTTTCACATTATTATGTCTAAATAATGATAAAAGTAGGTAAAAGAGGTAGCTGGTGCAAATGATTACTGTTACCTGACCCCCCAAACTGATGCCTCTGACAATTGCTTACTGAACAAATTGGCAAAGAAATAATATACAAGAAAAATCAAGAATTGAATGTACAGTAATTCATCACACTTCTCTGGCTCCTTGAAGCAATATTGCCAAGATAGCTTCCCATTACTCCATCATGTCAGTGATAGACATCCTACTGGCGACCAGAGCCAGAACCTGGCCCCCAATCCCCCACCTCTGTATCCTCCACCCTCCCTAATCCTCTGCACAGAGCAGAGGATTGTTAAAATCACTCACAGGGCACTGCTTTGTGCTTCTGGAGGAACCCTGAACGTAGGCTGGAACCAATGGGATTTTTGTAAGTCCACCAGGAACCTGAGAAGAATTTGAACCCTAGCAGGCTGACATACAGGCCAGCTGGGAGCCCACAACAGCCAGTCATCGAGGTAGGCCAGGACCCAAACACCAAAACATGTGAGGAGTCACAGGCTGAAAGGTAGTACCCAAAAAGGAAACCTGGCACCCATAACAAAGGTAACCAATTCCCGAACCCTGGATATAACGAAGCATGCCAGAATGCATCCAGAAGGTTCAGGGAAGCATCAAGAGCCTGAGCTGAGGACAAGATGGACCAGAAACAGCTGGGTGAACCGAGAGGATGACCCAGTTGTTTCTGGTCCCCATCCTGGTCCTGGTTTGTATGGAGAGAGATGCCAACTGGGAATACCAAACCAAGCCCAACCAAGTCCTAACCTGGGATGGAACCAATTCACAAGGAATCAGAATCTGGCAAGCTGGAAAAAAACAGATTCCTAACTAGCCTACATGTGGACTGGCTGGGAGCCTGATGCCCCACTAGAAATCCTAACCAGTTCTGGAACCTTGAGTGAAAAGGAACTAGCCAGTATGCATCTACGAGGTTCATCCAGGAATCCACCTGTAAAATCAAGTAAGCCTGAGCTAAAGTGGTTATGTGGCAGATTGGACAGGGAATGAAGCTGTTTAATCCTGAGAGATTGAAAATGTACTATATGTCTTCTGAGTAATGCTTGAAGGCCATGAACAACCAAGACACCCACTGAAGAGATTAGTTTACCTTGACCAAGCCTGAGCTCAACCATGTTACAATGACTACATAGAGATAAGGGAAAGACCCCTGACCTTACACCCCGGAACCTAATCAAAAAGGTCATCAGTTGAAGGAAGCACAAAGGCCCGGAAATCCAGTGCCATTGGAAGATTACCCAACCAACAGCTGGTGAGGCTCCAACCATGACTAACCACATCCAGGCAGAGGGGAATAAATTCATTTGCAAAAGAACCCAACTAAGAGGCCAAAAGAAAATTCTGCACTGTAGCAGCAGCCAGAATGATAACAGAAACAACCTCCCCAGGAAATAAGAGAGGGAGAAAACCAAGTTGAATGTAATGAAATGCCAATTTCTGGGTAAGCCCTGGTGGCACCCTAAAGCTACACTGAGATTGTTCCCATCTACCAGGTCGCATCAGCCATGGAGTTCTCGGGCCTACCAGGGACCATAACTAGAACCTGGTCCAACCTCACAGTGGTGCAGGGAGTGGTGACGTTTTGCCACCTCACAAGGGAAGGCATCCAGAGTCTCAATAAGTCAAAAACCACTGCCGAGTTCAAAAGAGACCGAAGACTCAAAACCTGCCTAATGAACTCCCCCAATTATGTAAACAAATGATTGTATCTCTCGAAACAAGAATGAGCTCATTCGCCCCCATCTTCCCACTCACTTCAGGGAGAGGGGGAAAGGGGCTCGCCACTTTCTGGGATCTGAGCTGTCAGGTCTTACACTGATGTAGTTATGGGTCACCTGAAAGCTGTAGTGGTTCCCGGGTTACCTCTAATTCATGTAGGCGCCATTGTTTCAGCTAAGTGTTTTGGGTCTTTACCTTTGGTGGTTTTTCTTGTACACTGCAGAGAATCCCCAGCTGCGAAACATGTAAGGGTTTCCGAGTCAGAACAATTTAACCCTGGATGTGGCTCGGTCAACTCTGAGGCCGAGCCTCAGCCTCCATGCCAATTCTGAATTGGGCATGGAGGCAGCCGAGCCAAGTAACCCTGCCGAGGATTTGGGGTTTTCCCCAAATCCTCAGCCCCTTCATCCTTCTTTTGAAGTTCCTCCCCTGGACTCCACTTTTCTGTCCAGGACCATGGGCATGGATGCTGGCTCCACCTCAGGGTCCTTAAGTGCAGCCTCCAGGGCTTAGAGGAAATCTAATATTGGCCTGTGAGTTCTGTTTGACTCCACATGGCTCCCTGTTCCTTCTGAGGTTCTCTTTTTGCAGAGGGAGGGGCTTTTATATCCTACCTCCCTCCCTGTACGAGTATGATTTGTGTCAGCTTTCCCCCCAGGGTTTCTCCAGTTCTGTGTGCCTTTGGGTCTGTAAAAGGATCATCCTTCCAAAGGTTTCCTTTCTCTCAGGTACACCCTTTGGTAGCTTGGGAAGCTTTCTTCACATACTTCCTGTGAAACTCAGATTATGCCTCTGCGATGGATCCTTCCTCTGAGTTTGGATCTTCCTCTGCTTTTTGGATGGGTTATGAGGCCAGACCACTGGCCTCACAGGGAAAAACTCCTGAACACACCAGAGAAGTCTATGAGCGCAGGGACAACCTAAATGAGTGGTTAGGAAAGGGCAGTTCTAAACACATTCAGCTGATAGTGCAGAATAGACCAAGTCCACACAATAAGTGAGGATTGTAAACACACAAACCTGAAGCAAATACTAAAGTTTAGAAGCGACACAAACAAATGACCACCACAGGACAGAGTCCAAAAGATGGCCTTCACTTAAGATGCCTAAGTATTGGTAACAGGTTGAGGGCTGTAAGTGGTGTCCCAGATTACTTTTAAACTTCCCTATAGCCTTATGTAAAGAAGATACAAGAAATGAGTGAAAGTGAGTGAAAATTATGTGTTGGAAAAGTTTAAATTCCACAACAAACGATCTTCAATAGCAAAGATGGCCACCTGGTGGTTGAAGACCACCACCATGGAGAAGGTAAACATACCAACAGATGATTGTTTCAAAGAATTCTTGCCACAAGATATAATGAAAGTAGGTTTTCTTGTTAGGTTAGAAAGAAGTATGAAGAAAAAGTACTTGAATTAGAAGAAAATGGAGCTCTCAGGAGTAAGTTTCACACTTTAAAAATAAATATTCTTCAACAAGGTAAGAAGATCGCTGCCTTAACAGACAAGGTAAAGATACACGAGGAACAAATCAAGGAACTAGTTTAAGAAGATGAGATGTGGAAAGTGAAGAGTAGAGAATTTGATGACTTTAACAAGAAAATAGACTCATATGGTGAACAACTCCAAGGAACACTGAGGGCTAACAGAGTTATGCAAGGAGAAACTTCATCGACAACTCACATAGAGGAGGTTAATAAAGAACTAGCAAATTACAAAGAGGAAATTAAAGAGATGTATGAGCAATTTGTTAAAGAGGAAAAACGACGAAGGAAGTGTGTTTGGAAGTCAAAACCAGAAATGACAAACAAAAAGCACAAATTAGGCAAGCAATTTGGAAAGAACTGGTAATCAACAGTAAACTAGTACAAAAAAATGCAGATAGAAATAAGTCCATAATAATTTTTGGGTGTTTAGAAAAATCAATATCAACTAGGGGTGGATAGAACAGCATAAGAGATGAAAATCACAGGAGAAAATAATAGGTTCAGGAGAAGGCCTCAATTCAAAGGAAAATATCAGGATAGGAAAATATGAGAGACAAAAATCGTCCCTTAAGGGTGACGTTTAACGGAGTGAAACAAATGACGGAAGTGCTTAAAAATGCCAGGAAATTGCAGTGTGATGAGGATGGCAAACTTTGGTCAATAAGACAAGACCAAAGAAAGGTCTTCCTCTGTCTCAAAGGAAGGCAGAGAAAAGCTGAAAACAAACCTAGATGAAGCGAAACATCTAAACTGGAATAGAAATGAAAAAGAAAATTTATTTTTCTACA